ACAAGTACATATCAAATGATTACCCAGCCCCTCCCTCCAACGACCCCACCCCAGTGTTCAATCTACAACTCCCTTAGGTGTCATGTGGATTGCATCTCCAAAAGGCATCATCATGTTGGTATGCAGGACAGTTAGCCTTGATCAGGTCCAAATATTGGCCACCAGCATGCACAGAAGATGGTGAGAAGAAAACTCCCTTTTTCATATCACCTCCTGTCCTATTTATTCCCATCCCAAATACCATGCCCCCACCCTCCCCGTTTCTATGGCAGCCGATAGCAAGTAAGCGAAGCAGAGGCTGACATCCGGCCCTCCTTCAGAAAAGGACATCATCCCTAGGGAAACAGGAAACAAAACAAAACAAAACAACAATAACAACTAACAGCATATATTAAAATTAAGGCTTATCAGGATATTTGGTGCAGAACTTCTGTAAATGTTTGGGAGCCCTGACATGGGATTTGTCCACCCATTCAGCCTGGGAAGGGGGAAAATGTTTCCAGGACACCAAATATTGGATGCGTCCCCTATGTTTCCTGGAATCTAAGATTTCTTTAACCTCAAAATGTTGCTCTCCTTCAATAAGCTGCGCTGGCTGGGGGATTCTGGGAGTTGAAGTCCACAGGACTTAAAGTCGCCAAGATTGAGAAACACTGCTCTAGAGCCTTGGGTGGGCGAAAACACCCCCTCTGCCATGGCGCAGGCCACGGCCACACATGCCCACGCCCACCCAGGCAGAGAACCAGCTGCTAAAACTGTTCAATCCCACCCCTGCTTTGAACGCTCATTAAGCGAGCACTATCTGTAATTGCACAAATATTTCCAGAGAGCTAAAAGCAACATGTTTACAATTTCTGAACCATGGGCAGTGACCAATAACTTCAGAGCAATTTTTCCCAGGCTCTGTCACCAAAATAAATAAATAAAAATAAAGCTCCCTGGTTGAGTCACGTAGAACTTATTTCATGAACCACACCTACTTTGATGTAACGCCCTTCATAAGCGCATCCGCACTTATCCATAGACACACATTCCTCCCCATCAAAGGCGTAGCCATCGTCGCACTGGCAACCTTCAAAACATTCTCCTGTGCAGTGGGTTGGAGCAGATAAAGCAGCACATGTGAAGTCGCAGGATCGAGTACACAACTCATAATGACTGTGAGCTGGGCAGGGAAGAGCTGAAAAGAGCGAGATGGAAGAAACCATAATCATTTAGATGGCACTTAAACTTCAGTGTTGTTCTCATTCATCCAGGTCATGGTTGTCCCAAAGGTCCTTTTATTCTAAAGTGGACTTTCTGAGTTTTCTCCAAAACATTGTGCTTCTCAACCAAGAACTTCAAAGGAACTGAAGTTAGGATACTCCTAGAATACTATAACCAAGTTTGGTCACCGTACTACAAAAAAGACGTTGGGACTTTGGAAAAAATTCAGAGAAGAGGAACTAAAATGATCAAAGGCCTGGAGACTAAAGGATTTGGGTTTGGCTAGTCTAAAGAAAAGAAGAATTAGGGTGACATGATACCAGTATTCCAATATTTTACTGGGTGCCGTAAAGTACAGGGGGTCAAATTATTCTCCAAAGCACCAGAGAGCAGGACAAGGAGCAAGGTTGGAAACTAACCAAAGAGAGAAGCAATCTGGAATTAAGGAGAAACTTCCTAATAGTGAGGACAATTAGCCAGTGGGAAAGATTGCCTTCAGAAATCATGGGTGCTCCATCACTGGAATTTTTTTAAGAAGACAGTCGCTTACCTGAAATACTTTGGTCTCCTGCTTGAACAAGGGGCTGTATTACAAGACCTCCAAGGTCCCTTCCAGCTCTATTCCTATTCCTATTCCTGTTCCTGTTCCTGTTCCTGTTCCTGTTTCTGTTTCTGTTCCTATTCCTATTCCTACTCCTACTCCTACTCCTGTTCCTGTTCCTGTTCCTGTTCCTGTTCCTGTTCCTGTTCCTGTTCCTGTTCCTGTTCCTGTTCCTGTTCCTG